AGGTTGCACAATGAGCTATGATGACATCACTATACTCCAGCAGGGGTGACAGATCAACACTCTGTCTCAAAAAAAAAAAAAAAAAAAAAAAATTGGTCATGGGTTGGCAATGGCTAAAAGTGGGTGATGAGTACATGGGGGCTCATTAGGCTAGCATCCACACTTTTGTGTATATTTGAAATTTTCCGTAATTAAGTTTATTTCTTACTTTTTATTTATTTTTAAATTTCAGATTAATATAAGGGTATATACAAGTAGATTACATTATTTACAATTGTTAGAAAAAGTCCAAGTTGTATTTGAGTCTCTCACCCAGGAGGTGAGCCATATACCCCCCCTACACTATACCTGTTAGGTGGGGGCTTACTGAGCCCTTGCCCCTCTTTCCCCTCTTATTGAATTTAATTATGTCTTTCCTCTTGTTTGGGCCTGTGGTAGTTTATCTACTAGTTTCAAATTAGTATTGAGTACATAGGATGCTTGGTTTTCCATACTTGAGATACCTTACTAAGGAGAATGATTTTTAACTCATATCCAGGTAAATACAAAAGATGTAAAAACGTGGAAATAAGCCAAGTGCCCATCAACCCATGAATGGATTAATAAACTGTGGTATATAGATATGATGGAATACTATTCAGCCATAAAAAGACAGAGACTTTACATATTATGTAGTATTTACTCAGTAAATGATTTTTAAATAGCTTTGCTTTGGACATCAACTCCCCTTCATGCCTATCAATGGTAGTACAAAAATATGGCCATCAACATCTTAAATTCACTTGTGCATTATTCTTATACAAGAGAAGTATTTTTCCCATTTTTTAAATTTGTGCATATATAAAATACAAGTGCAACTGATATACTGTATTGTGGTAAATCAGGGCCTTTCAGTGCATATATCACTGAAACACTGCACATTGTATTCACCAAGCAATCTCTCCCACACCCTCTGAGAGAGAAATACTAAGAATAAACATGAGAGGAACATGACATAAGCCAGAAAATTCAATATATAAGCAACAGAGGTCATAGAAACTTAAAATTCATATATGAGTTAGAAAAAATAGAAAGTATATAGAAAGTTTTTATTTTCAAATTGATACCTTAAAGTCTATTGGAAAAGTCTGGCAGTAATGGTATCTCACTCTAATTTTTCAGGAGAGATGTGATTAACTCCAAAGGTCTGAATTCAGTGGTCTCGTTATAAAAATCAAAGTAGAAATTCCAAACTTCTGTATTACATAGAGAAGCTATCAATATCTAAAATAAATGGGTTTCAAAACTTTCTTCAATTATAAATGTGAAAAGAAAATGAGAAAAGCTATGTTCCTTCACTGTAGTCCTAAAGTATAAAGTTTTGTTAAGAAACATGAGTAGTTGTTCCATGGACTATTTGAATAAAAGTTGCTTAAAAAATGGATCGGCGCCTGTGGCTCAAGTGGCTAAGGTGCCAGCCACATACACCTAAGGTGGCGAGTTTGAATCCAGCCCGGGCCCGCCAAAACAACAATAACAGGAGCAACCAAAAAAAAAAAAAAAAAAATAGCCAGGCGTTGTGGCGGGTGCCTGTGGTCCCAGCTACTTGGGAGGCTGAGGCAGGAGACTTGCTTGAGCCCAGGAGTTGGAGGTTGCAGTGAGCTGTGATGCCACAGCACTCTACCTAGGGGGATAGTTTGAGGCTCTGTCTCAAAAAAAAAAGTTGCTTAAAATAAACTGTGTCAAAATGTTTCAGAGGACGAAAGATAAAAGAGAAAAGGGTATCCTGCAATTAAAATAGTGGTATTAAAATAAAAATTATAAATGTTCCTTCATCAATTATTAAACTTCTAGACAAATCTATTATACACTACCTAATAATTCAAAAATAATCACAAGTATGGAGAAAGGAAAAAAGACTCTCTTCATATACTTAACTTGCTTTCTATTTTCTTTTCCTATTTTCTCCATGTTAGACATCCTCACAAGTACAAAACTTCCAATGACCTTTAAGGGAAAAACTATTTGCAAATTTAGAGGGTGTACCTAACATGGATATTTTACATAATTCGAGTTTTGAAAATCTAGATCAGTGGTTCTCAACCTGTGAGTCATGACCCCTTTGTCACGAAAATACATCGTGGCATTAGAAGGTTGAGAACCACTGATCTAGATCAAGTTTACTATTTCTATAAATGTTGTTAATTCACCAGTCCCTTCAGTCTAATTCCTAATCTTTACTAAGTACTCAATATAAATACAAATGGTTTATAAATTAACCTTATTTGACACAGATTTAGCCTCAATCAGTTCTGATGGTGACCAGAAACTTCCATGTTTCAGACTAATTCTTGTCCATTTCTCTGTTCAAAATAAACAAGACCTTATCTTTAGGTCTTGCTTATTCATTAAAAAGTTACTATGCCTAGATGAGGGTTTAGTAAAACATCTGACCTCAACCCACTAATTTAGCTGCAAACAGGTGACTTAGGTGAAGAAGCTGTCATACTAATCTTACAGGATTTTCAATTACAGATTTAGTAAGAATTAGAAATAAGTAGACTGAAGGAAGTCTTTACTATTTCCACTTAACAGTTGAGGAAACTGAGGTAACGGAGTTAAATAACCTACACAAAAAGGTAAGTAGTAGAGCTAGGATTTGAACTCAGGCTAATTGGATGTAACTAAATCCAACTTCTTAACTACCACCTCTAAAACAAACTGCTATAAACATAACACATGCTCTTATTTCTTTAAACATTCAGGATTTCAGCATAAAAAAGCAAATCTAGTTGAACTGTTGACAACCTGGTAACTTCACCAAAAAGGCTAACTAGTTGAGGCCCCCTGATTTGGATCTAGATGCAGTATTTTGAGTGTAGATTTTTCTAACCAATGAAATCCACACCTGTATATATTTGTATATCTAAATGAAATAGAAACTTTACTCACGTTTCAATATAGTGGCCAGCACCATAATCACTGTGCTATAGGCACTGAGCCAATGTAAGAATTTTTTTTTTTTGGTGGCCTGTAATAATTTTTTTTAAAAACGGGGCTCGGCGCCTGTGGCTCAAGTGGCTAAGGTGCCAGCCACATATACCTAAGGTGGCAGGTTCGAATCCAGCCCAGGCCTGCCAAACAACAATGATGGCTGCAACCAAAAAAAATAGCCAGGCGTTGTGGCAGGCGCCTGTGGTCCCAGCAACTTGGGAGGCAGAGGCAGGAGACTCGCTTGAGCCCAGGAGTTGGAGGTTGCTGTGAGCTATGCCATGGCACTCTACCCAGGGGGATAGCTTGAGGCTCTATCTCAAAAAAAAAAAAAAAAAAAAAAAAAAAAAAAAAAAAGAAAGAAAGAATCTAAACAGACTGGGGTGGTGCCTGTGGCTCAAAAGGGTAGGGTGTTGGCCCCATATGCCAGAGGTGATGGGTTCAAACCCAGCCCTGGCCAAAAAAAAAAAAAGAATCCAAATGGATGTGAAATTAAGTCCATCTAGGGATATAAAATATTTTTTTACCTTTCTTGAAGTCCTTTGAATATGTGTACCAAGGTATCAGCAATTTCTTCTATAACTTCATGGTAATGGTAATTAAAAGCCATTTCAATATCCAAACCAACAAATTCAGTTAGATGTCTGTGGGTATTAGAGTCTTCAGCTCTGAATACTGTAAAGTTAATAAAGAAACAAACTGAAAATAGTGTTTAAATTTTGGGTAAATTGGACTTTAAACAGAAAATTCCACTGAGTAGGACTCTAATGGTTATCAATTTTGTGTCACTAAAGGTAGAAGGACCTTTGATAAGCCATCTGCTTCAGCATTTCTTGCATGGTAAGTTCATTATAATTTACTAAAAGTCACACAGTAAATTAATAAATGAGGCTCACCCCAAGGGAATGCAAGATTCTGAGATGCCTCCTCAATAATTAAAAATAAGATTCAATTATGACCAATATAGCAAGTTTTTCTCAGTTTTATTAAAACTTGACTCAAGCTAAATGAAGCTCTATACAAATGAAGTAACATTTCTTGCTATTCTTGTTATTACCTCAATCCAGCTCTTAATATCACTCAATGCATTTCCTTCCTTTCTAGTCTTCCTGACTCTAGCTCAGCTCATCTTTCATATCACTGCCAAATTAATATTCCTGTAATGCATTTTTGCTCAGTAACTTACAACGGCTCCCAAATGACTACTATAGCAAAACACAGAATGACAAAAAGTCTAAAACGTTTATGCCTTCATAATTTAATGCTAACCTTTATTTTCCATTTCTTTTTCTTTCTTTCTTCTTTTTTTTAGGATACATTAAAATTTGGTTTAATATTTCTTTGGGGAAAAAAATATCAGACTTTTAGTGAATGAGCAAGAAACATTTTTACAGTAGCAGTGGGCTATCATTTTTAACTACCATGCCATGAATTCACAGGGAAGTGGTTCCAGTAGCTCAGGGAGGTACCTTGCCATTGAATGTGACAAAACATCGATGGACTTTTGAATTCATGGCAAATAGGTTCTAGCACCTTGTATCACTGTTACATGGGGTCTACTGGATCCTGTGTGCTATGCTGTACACCTGTTATACCATGAGCTTATGGGGAATAAATGGGTTCTTGCACCTAAAAACATGGGTCCACTGGTACTCCTGTGTTCTATGTTATATACTTATTATGCCATGACTTCATAGGGAATGGGTTCCAGGACCTCAGGCTCCTTTCCGTTGGTTCTCACAAAGTGGGCTTGTCTGGGTGGAGCAAGCTGGCGCTTCAGTTGAACCAGGTACCTTTCTCTTTGGCTACCTTCTTTTTCTCATCATTTTCCTTCACGAGTTTCAGGAAGCTATCTCGGCTCTTAGAGCACTTAATATGCTCAATACGAACATTAATCCTCCTGGCAAGAATCTTGCCCTTAACTTGTTTGTTTACAACAATGCCAACAGCATACTGGGTAACATTTTAGACTCTTCCAGTTTTGCCATGGTAACATTTGTGTGGCATGCCTTTTTGAACAGTACCCATTCCTTTGATGTCTACAATATCACTTTCTTGTAGATTCGCATATATGTGGCCAAAGAAACAACTCCATGTTTTCTAAAAGGCCTAGAGAACATGTATTGGGTGCCTCTCCTTTTTCCCTTTGTGTTTGTCATTTTGGTGAATTACTGAAAGATGGCATCTCCGGCCGAAAGGCTAGATCCCATTTCTTTTTTT